ATAGTAGATGTATGTTGAAGTTTTAAATTTTGTTTTCTGTGTCTTTTAATCAATATATTTATTAGTTTATTTTCACTTAAAGAATATTTTATTGCGCTTTAGGTGAAGTTTTACAGAGCAAAATAGTTTCCCATTCAATAATTTGTACACAAAATATTCCAAGACATTGATCGAAGTCCCCTCAATGTGTCAGAACTCTCCCCATTTTGGCCCTGGATTCCCCGTTCCCTTCCACAGGTTTTCCTACCCCTTCTTGCCTTCTCGTCTTTGCTTATGGACAGAGGTTGCCCTCTTGGTCTCATATAATTAACTGTTCTAAAGAGCGCGTTCCTCTCAATGGTTATGGTTTATTTTGTTGGCTTGTCTATTGTTTGGCTAAAAGGTGGTCTCTGAAAATGGCTTCAGTTCTGCAATAGAAGGGTGTCATAGGGCCAGGGGATTCCTCCAGTCTCTGTCAGACCGGTAAGTCTGGTCTTTTTTTATGGATTTGATTTTTCTCCCGCTCTGCTTGGGACCCTCTATTGTGATCCCGGTCAGAGTGATCAGTAGTGGTATCCCGCCACCATCTAGCTCTTCTGGTCGCAGGGTCATGTAGGCTGTGGTTCATGTGGTCCATTGGTCGTTTAGACTAATTGCTCCTTTGAGTCTTCAGTTTTCTTCACTCTCCTTTGCTCAGGATGGGATGAGACCAATAGTTGTATCTTAGATGGCCACTTGAAACTTTTAAGACCCCAGATGCTATTCAGGATATAAGATGTAGATGAAGGACGTTCTCTTTATGAATTGTGTTATGCCAATTGACATAGATGTCCCCCAAGTCTATGGTCCTTAGCCTTCAAGCCTAGGAACTTTGCCTCGTGAGGTGTTTGGTTGTGTCTAGAAAGTTACCATGATTGTGCTGCTTGTTTGTTCTATTGTCTGTAATAATACACATGTAGACTCTATAAATGTGTATGTAGTAATATCCGTACCCAAACCTCTATCTGCAGGTGAATGTACTCCCTTGCACCCTCCCACTTCTCTTTAGCATATCTCTCTACCTATATATCCATTTGTAGATTATTATTTGTTAATATTATTGTTGCAGTGTTGTCTATGTTATGGTAATTACCATGATTGCCTTTATTCTTGCGTTCCTCTCAGGGCCTTTCTTTTAATTTATTTTTTATATTTTTTATTTTCATGACTCATTTTGCTGAGTTCTGGAAGATTTCCTCACTATCGTTTGCCCTAATTTTCTTACAAGTTACCCACGTACATTTTGAAATGAACTTTTGAGGCTTTTTTATACAATCATTGTCTTTTTATTTTTTTATATTTCTACTTAGTTAATTTTCAAAATACCCTATTTTCACAAACACCTTTCTTTAATTTTTTGAGAACTAGGAACATGCTAATTTGAAGTCATTTTCTGATGTTATTATCTCTATGTTCTTGGGTGCTATTTCCTACATTATAGCGTCTGTAGAATATTTTTTCACCGTTTGTCTCTATATATTGGTTTTCGTTCTTTTATTGCAATAATCTTCCATAGAAAATTTTTGTCATAAGTGTCCTGGGTTATAAGTCCTTACTGGGTGGCCAAATTTCAGTTGCTGTTGCCTCATAGTATATCAGCCGTAAAAAAAGTAATGAGGTATTGATAGATGTTACAACACAGATGAACATTGAAAACTTTGTGCCAAGTGCAAGAAGCTGTTTCCATTTATATAAAATATCCAGACTGAAATTATATTAGTGGTTGACAGGGCGTGGGTGTAAAGGGGAATTGAAAGTGACTAATAATAGGTATGGGATTTCATTTTTGGGTAAGAGATATATTATAGAATTAGCTAGGGGTGATGGTTGCACAACATTGTGAATATACTAAAAAAAACACTGAATAGTGCATTTTAATATGGTGAATTTTCTGTTAGGTAAATTATTGTAAAAATGGCACGGGGGTGTCATCTGCCCTCCTCTAACTTCACAAGGGGGAAGGAGAATCAAGATCGAACCCCAAGGCTGATTTCTGTGAGGCTGAGTTCAGACATGCCTCCTTTCTCCGCCATCTTTACCAATTCTGACACCAACCATCCCTCCCGCGGCGCGCCTCTACTTCTTTGCTGGGTTTGATAATTCATTGCAGTGGCTGAACAGAACTCACAGACAATACTCATGATTATGGGGTTTATTAGGGAATTAACAGGTTACAGTTCATGCTCAGGAACGCTCAGGATACAGTTCTTCCATCAAGAAGACAGCCTCTTTTCAGCTGTGCCCGTAGGCACACCTCTGTCTGGCCCTAGGCCTCTACCCTGCTCAGGCAAGCGTTGCAAAGCTCTTTTAGCCCTTGCCAATAAGTGCTTAGAGGCACTCTACTCTGCCAGCAAGCCTCCAGCCAAAAGGCATTCAGCTTTCTTGCTTCGTGGGTCGGGAAGCCCACCACGCCATTTCCTGCCATTGTTTCTCTGCCACCATTTCTTGAGCTCTCTCTCTGTCTCCTGGTTCCAGGAGCTTTTCAGTGCAGGGATCCCGGGTCCAAAAGATGCACTCTCTGCTCCTGATGGTGGTAGTGGGATCCTCTCCCTGGCTCCTCTGGGATGGCTCACCTTAAGCCCGGCGGGAGGGCAAAACTGACCAATCTCTTAGCCTATCTGCACAGTCCCGCCCAATCACTTGGGTGTGAGTTAAAAGACCATGGTGAGAAAGGCAACACAAAAGCGATCCGTCTCACCACAATTATATATTAATTAAAAAATTGAAAATAAGAACAAAACAAAAATCTGAGCCACACACCCCATGCAGGACAGGTACTGATATCTGTGTGTATTCAAGTGGATTGTTTCACTCACACACTGGGGAAGAGAGTTGGATTCTGGCCATGACCCAGGTCAGTGAGTGGAGATATTCCAGTCCTCTTCCTCAACAGGCAACAGGTTCATAGCTTCCAGCTTCACACCAGGACTGCTAAATCACCCCTGGGCCACCACTACCTGGCTCCACACAGACATGGAGGTTGTGGTCCCTTGTACCACACCACCAAGAACCAGTCAGCATTAACCTCTGCTTACCTCTATGAGTTCCATACCCAGTTCCTGAAGAAAGAATCCACAGTATGGGCACAACACTTCCTCCTTGCCTGAGATTTTGTCCTGGGGGTCTCTATGGTCATTATATTTTATCTGCACTGCTGAGGACCATGGGAGGCAGTAATGTAACCCCAACCTTTACTGCCCTTCTCTGTCTTGGTGAGCTTTGAGGAAAAGAGGACGGATGAGGTCCTCTTTAACACACTCAGGTACTGGTCCCTTGGGAGACTCCAAGGACTCAGGAGGCTCAAAGGGAGGCCGAACTTCTGGGTAAAAGAGAGTTCTGACCAGGGGTGGAAGGGCACTGAGGAGCAGAGTGACTCAGAAGGTCTGAAAGAGAATGAAGAGACATATGATGCTAATTACAGAAACAGGGAGGAAGTGTTTAGAAGAAAGAAAACCCACAACCCCAGGCCAGGAGGAAGGGTTCTGCTTTCTTCTGAGAGTCAGTCAACCAACACCCTTATAAATATCTCTCTATACCCCCTTCTCTGCGTGGGGTCGTCCTCTCTTTGATGGCCCCATTGACTCCTCCAGTCAACCAAGGCAGACAGTGGGATAGCCCTAAATTCTTCACCCTCTACTGCTTCACATGCAATCATCAAATCCAAACAGTTCTGCGTCCTGATCCTTCTCCATGTCTTCCTCTATCATAAGACTCAGCATGTCTGTGACATCACTGAAGCTTCCTTCCTGGTCCCCCTAATTCAGGAAGGCTAGTTCTCTTTCTATTGCTATTTATTCTTCTCATTACCCCCAGCCTTATGCGGCATGACCCTCCCTTGTTCAACATCCTCCAGCAGGTTCCAAATTCCTCAGAAGAACCAAGTTCCTCTTTCTGACATTCAAGGTGGTTGATGATCAGGCCTGAGCTAAACTCTCCAGCCCCAACAAACACCGTCCCCACTTCCTCATTCAAACTCATCACAGTTAACCACCCCTGCCCCAGAAAACACATGTGTGCACACATGCACACACACACACACACACACACACACAGACACAGTGAGAGAAACAAACCAAGCTAATTAACACTTTAGTGCCTTTTTATGGGCTGCTTCCTCAGCCAATTTGAATATAGCAAGCTCCTTTCCAAGCTACCAAAGAGAAAAACGAAGAAGTCTTCCTGGCACATTTCAATCAACTGTAAATGTGTTTGTGCCATAAGGCTTGTGTAAGAATTACATGAGAAATTCACATAACCTACCTAGAATACTGATCATCACATCATCTAGGCATCAGATTAATGTAGGAGTTTTATTATCGTTTATTATAAATAGGGTCTTTCTGCAAACCATTCTTTCTATCTGTGTTGTTGTTACTTTTCTGTCGAGTCAGTTCTGACTCATGGCAATATCGTGTGTGCAGAGTAGAACTGCTGCACAGGCTTTTCAAAGCTATGACCTTTCAGAATCAGATCTCCAGGCCTTTCTTCCAAGGCATGTCTGTGTGGTTTGAACTGCCAATCTTTTGGCTAGTACTCAAGAATTTAGCCATTTGCGCCACCCAGGTACTCCCATTCTCTACACAGTGGTGGTTTTTCTAAAACAGAAATCTGTTCATGCTTTCCCTGGCTTAAAATCTTCTGATATCATAAAGATAAAATCCAAATTACTTGGATGATGTTCAAGCCCTGTGTGACCAGGTCTCAGTCTTCCTCGGATTGCTCTCAGTTCTTACAACAGCTCAAGCTCTTTCTGGTGGAGGTTGCCCTCCCCTCACTACTCTTTGGGCTAGTCCCTACAAATGCTGTGGTCTCTCCCTCCTTCAGAGGGTCCCCCTCACTCCTATGGCCCACTTGCATGATGCCACCTGTTATTGAGTCTCTTTGTCCCGTTTATCTCCTTTTCTACAACTTGCCGAAACTGCAGCTGAATTTTCTGTATATATTTGTAGTGTCTTCTGTTAATCTGAACTTCATAAATCCAGGAAGGAATCTTTCTGCTTCACCCTTCACATTTGTTGATTGCCTGGTTGATGGAAGAAAGGAAGAAAATTTGTGTTTATGGAAGTTCAGAAAAGGTAAGTGAGTTGCTCCAGGTCATCCAACCTCTATAAGAGGCAGATTCAGAATTGGAACTGATACTGGGCTGGCTCCTAAGCCCTGCCCTCTCCAGCCTCATGTTCTGGGACAAGGATAATCTCTGGGTTTGAGTTTGGCATGAGGTAGAGGCAGGCTGGGCTGGCAGACTGCTGGTGGTCAGGTAAGACCCAGTTCTGGTCTGAAAGGTTTCAAGAGCTTTCTAACTCCTCTACTTCAGCCATCAGGGAGGGCTGAACCAGGCCCCGTGGAGGGACTGTTTCTCTTTCTGTGAGTCCACTGGTAATGAGAGTCTAGGGCTTGTCACACCCTGTGCATGTTTTACTGGGCCCTATGACCATTATAATTTGTCTGCACTGCTGGGTACCTTGGGACACAGTGCTGTGACTCCAACCCTCACCGCCCTTCTCTGTCTCGGTGAGCTTTGGGGAAAAGGGAAGGGGTGAGGTTTCCCTCCCAGATCCTGGTCCCTTGTGAGACCCCAGGGACTCAGAAGGCTCAAGGGGAGGCTGAACCTCTGTGGGGAGGAGAGAATGTATATAGCATCATGCATTTCTCCCAAGTCTCTGCCTGGCTCTAAGATCAAAACAGGAGAGCCACAGAATAACTTGATGCTCAGCCCCTGTGGTATTGGAGAAAGGGGAAGAAGTACAGCCTGGCCTTGAGATGTGAGTAATGGCTCTTCCTGTAAAAGGAAGATGATGCCATCAGACTGATATTATCAGTCTTTTATGAGGGCTTCTCACACCCGGCTGTTCCGTAACAAGAAGATTCTGTCTTCAGGTGAAGATTGTGCTGCATGCAGGACGTCTGGGCTGAGACACTACCATGATCCCCGGGCTCATTTTCCTACTTTCCCTTGGTGAGTGCTGCAAAGGAAATTTATGTGGGAGCTGGGAAGGGGAGGGCAATGTAAATACTGAGGTTTATAACCTGGGCCCCTCTCCTGGGACACTTCCTTCATGTGTTCCTAAGGGTCATATCTCCACAGAGGGATCTCTCATATAGCCACCTTTCCTTCACCCCATACCCAACTCGATGACCAAAGCTCAGGTGACTGAGCATCCCTGGATTATAGGGTGGCCATCCCTTACCAGGTCATTATCATTTTCAGGACTTTGTCTGGATCAAAAGATACGCGCCCAGAATGGTGAGTCTTTCCTCTACGTTTCTCCCAGGCAGCTCTGAGTTGGATTGAAGGTTCTCTGGGAGGACATTGATAGTCATCGAACTAATTCCAATCCTTGCCTTGCACTGTCTCATCCTTACACTCGTCATTTTATTTTTTATCCTTCACCATCATACTAAATTTTTTTGTGCGTGTGTGGAAACATCTTTGCCCTGCCCTAAACAGAATCTAGATTTCTAGCTTTCTTCCATCAGCCCAGCTGAGTCAGGTAAAAATTTCCAGCTTTAATAATGCTGAAGGTAAATACAGGTGTGGTCAATACTGAACATGTAGACACAGAGAACTGGGGAAATTTACACAAATCCTATGTCTTACCTGTGACTATGGAACCAGCAACCTTGTGTATCCTGTGTCCACTTTTCCATTTGCTGTTACCTGGTTGCTTCAAGGTCCCTCCTGTCTGGAGAGATCTGTCACCGGGGAGGTACTCTTTTCAGGAGACCATTGCTGTTGTTGTTAGGTGCTGTCGAGTTGGTTCCAACTCATAGCCACCCTATGTACAACAGAATGAAATACTGCCCAGTCCTGCACCATCCTCCCAATTGTTGCTATGTTTGAGCCCATTGTTGCAGCCACTGTGTCAATCCATCTCATCAAGGGTCTTACTCTTTTTCACTGACCCTCTACTTTACCAAGCATGATGTCCTTTTCCAGGGACTGGACCCTTCTGATAACATGTCCAAAGTATGTTCGAACTTTTGTGCTCCATTATTGTTCTCTGGCTTCGAATAACCAGAAAAGTCCCTGCCCTCTATTAGAAGGAAAAGTAAAAGAAACAAAGTAGATAACTAAAACACATAATATATTCACCAGAAACCTGTTGCAGTCGAGTCAGTTCCGACTCACTGCGACCCTACAGGACAGAGTAGAACTGAGGTTTCCAAGGAAGGGTTGGTGGATTCAAACTGCCGACCCTTTGGTTAGCAGCCGAGCTCTTAACCACCGTGCAACCAGGGGCCCGCATAATATATTAGAAGGTGGTTAATGCTAAGCTAAACCACAAACCAAACCCACTGCGGTAGAGTTGATCCTGACCCATGGCAACCCCACGTATTACAGAGTAGAACTGCTCCATAGGGTTTTCATGGCTGCAATCTTTACAGGAAGGAGCCCTGGTGGCACAGTAGTTAAAAATGCTCAACTGCTAACTGAAAGGTTGGCAGTTCGAACCCACCAGCTGTTCTGCAGGAGAAAGATATGGCAGTCTGCTTCCGTAAATATTTACAGCCTAGGAACCCTATGGGGCAGTTCCACTCAGTCCTGTAGGGTCGCTATGAGTTGGAATTGACTTCATGGCAGTGGGTTTGGTTTTTTGGTTAATCTTTACAGGGATGCCTGGGTGGCACAAATGGTTAAGTTCTCAACTACTAGCCAAAAGGTTGGTGGTTCGAACCCACCCAGAGGTGACTTAGAAGACAGGCCTGGAGCTCTGCTTCCAAGAGTTCACAGCTTTGAAAACCCTATGGAGCAGTTCCACTCTGCACACATGGAGTCTCTTTGAGTGGGAATTGACTCGAAGGTGATCCACAACAACAACGTTTAAAGAAGCAGATCACCAGGCCTCTCCTTTGTGGTGCTGCCAGGTGGGTTCAAACCGAGAACCTTTTAGTAGCCAAGTGCAAACCACTGGCACACCCAGGGAGGTTAATGCTAAAGAAAGTATAAATCATGGAAGTGTCATGGAGACTGCATGTTTGGGATAGGAGGTTGTTGTTGTTTTAGCAACTGTAGTTGAGGACAGTGCCCCAGTCCGATTGACATTAGAGAAAAGTCCTGAAGGGTGGAGGGAGGACAGACCCTCAGGGTGAACAGCATTTCACATTGAGAAACATATGCATTTGGTCCTGATGTGGAACTGGACCTCGTCATCTTGACCAAGGCCTCTGTGTTGAGAGTAGCAGTAATGAGTGAGAGAATAGTGGGGGAGGAGGTCAGAGAGGTAATGGGTCAGGCTGTAGACCCGGTAATGGATTAAGATTTTACCCTGAGTGAGATAGGAGCCATTGGAGGGCTGTGAGCAGAGGACTGCATGATCTGACATACAAATAGGATTACTAGCTTCAGTGTACAGAAAGGGGGCAAGGAAACTGGTTGGGGGCACATGTGGAAGAAAGAGACAGAGTAAGATCCTAATGCAGTGATCCAGTGAGGGATAATGGGCGCTTGTCTCAGGGCAGGGGCAGTGGAGGTAATAAGAAGGCAGATCCATAGGGTTCATTTCCAGTTTGGTTGGATATGGGAAGTGTGGAGAAAGGAATCCGTCAGTAATAACATCAAGGAATGACATTTACTAGTGAATTGATGGAGAAGAATAAGGTTTCTTCCTCCAAAATATCAGGTGCTCTACTTTGGGCATGTCATCTGGAAAGACCAGTCACTAGAAAAGTACATCATGTTTGAACAGTAGAGGGTCGGCAAAAGTGAGAGAAACCCTCAATGAGATGGATTGACACAATAGCTGCAACAATGGGCTCAAACATACAAACAATCATGAAGATGGCACAGGACTGGGCAACGTTTTGTTCTGTTGTACATAAGGTGGTCATGAGTCAGAGTCAACTCTTGAGAGGTCAGAATTGACTTGATGGCAATTAATAGCAACAACAACAATTTTGGACACAGTTAGTCGAGTTTTCGCTGGAGGAGACAAACTGAATAAATTAATCTAGAGTTTGGGTGAGGGATCTTAGCTGGAAATATATTCATAGTGTGTGTGTGTGTGTGTGTGTGGGTGGGTAGCTGTCTGAGGACAGCTAGAGAGTGAGTATGTTCAGAAAACAGAAATAGATTTGGGAATAGAGCCTAGAGACACTGTAAACTGTGGGGGTTTGGAGATGGTGGAAAGACTAAAGCAACTGAGACAGCATGGCCAGAAGAAAAATCAAGAGTGTGGGCTCCTGGAAGTCAAACAAAGGTCATTTTTAGAAGGCAGAGTGATATACTTAGTCAAATATTGCTGATTTAGGCATGTCATAATTAACCTCATCTTACTGTTGCCGAGACTGAGGTCTTTAATTGACCAGAGTCACAGGGTTAGGACTGGGCATGGCTGAGACTCACACCAGGTGGCCTGGCTTACATCCTGGGCTCTAACCTACCATCCCCACGGCATGTTTTCTAGAGCCTGGTGTGGAAGCGGGAAGGGGGGTTTCTTAACACCAGGATGTTTTGAATTTCCAGGTTCTGTTTCTTTCCCAGTGATCAAACCCTCCATCTGGGCAGTGCCAGGTGCTGTGGTTCCCCAGCACAGTTCTGTGACCATCTGCTGTAGGGGACCTCCAGGAATGACTACTATGCGTCTGCAAAGAGCAGAATTCACAGAGTGGGATGACAAAATCCCACATGGAGCCCAGGAGGTTGTCAAGTTCTCCATCCAGGATGTGACACAAATCCATGCAACGATTTATTACTGTGAATACTGGAAGGAAGGAACCTGGTCAGGAATCAGTGATCCACTGAAGCTGGTGGTGACAGGTATGGGCCACTCCAAGGGCAATGTCCTGTAGCCTTGGTATCTGTTCCCTAGCACACTGTGCCTGTCTATCATTGACCCCTGCCTTCTGTCTCTGCCCAGTCTCCTCATCTGTCTTGCTCCCACTATCCCTTTGCGCTGACTCTGGTCCAATCGCCCTTCAGAGAGGAGGCTAGAATCCCTAAGGAACTACACTTCATGTGGAACAGATATTCAGCTCGCCCACTGGACATAGGACTACTCTCTTGTCCCAGGTTATTGGAAAATAAGAAAAGTTTTTTTTTTTGTCCTTGTGATCTCTGTACAGCAATAAAGGGTGAATGGGTGAATTTCACCCTGGCTCCTTCCTTTCTTCTCTCAGTTCAGACCATGGGAATGGTGGAGTAGAGTGTGGCTTCCTAGTAATGACATGCTCCATTCTTTTCCAGGAGCCCTGGTAGCACAGTGGTTAAGAACTTGGCTGCTAACCAAAAGGTTGGCAGTTTGAGCTCACCAGCTGCTCTTTGGAAACCCAATAGGGGCAGTTCTACACTGTCCTCTAGGGTCGCTATGAGTTGGAAACGACGGCAGTGGGTTTTTTTGGGGGGGTTTATTCTCTTCCAGGAGTTTTCAAAGACATACCCTCTTTGACTGCTCATCCAGGTCCCCGTGTGACCTCAGGAGAGAATGTGACCCTACTTTGTCACTCAGTTTATCACTATGACATCTTCCATCTGTACAAAGATGGAAGAAATGCCTTCTCCCTGGACTATTTCCGTCAGGACCATAACACCTTCCTCGTCTCCCCTGTGACTCTGACCAGTGAGGGCACCTACAGATGCTGTGGTTCTTCTAAACCACACCTTCTCCTCTGGTCACTGCCCAGCGAAACTCTTGACCTTTTGGTCACAGGTAAGTGCAGATGTGTCACTTTTACTCTGTGCTCAAGGAAGTCCCATAAGGTGTTTAAGGTGATGTCTTAGTTATCTAGTGCTACTATAACAGAAATATCACAAGTGGATGGCTTTAATAAATAGAAATTTATTTTCTCACAGTTTAGGAAGCTAGAAGTCTGAATTCAGGGCGCCGGCTCTAGGGGAAGACTTTCTCTCTCTCTAGGCTCTGGAGGAAGGTCCTTGTCTCTTTATATTCTACTTCCTGCTTCCTTGGAGATGTCCATGTGTCTTGGCATCTATCTTACCCCATCTCTGCTCACTCTCTTGCTTTTCCAATCTCTTTTATATTTCAAAAGAGATTGACTCAACACATACCCTGCACTAATCCTGTCACATTAACATTACAAAGACAACCCATTCCCAAATACGAGTATAACCACAGGCGTAGAGGTTAGGATTTACAACACATATTTTGGGAGGACACAATTCATTCCATAACAACAGGTGGAGAATTTCAGTTCCACTCTGTTTTGGTTGATTGTGATCTGCATAAGATGCCCCCTCTAAGGTCGCTCCATTTAATTTATAGGCCCTGAGGATTTATATATTTGTTATGACAATTTTCTGACAGTTATAACTAAATTGTTTGGGAATGTCTTCTACCCATCATGTGAAAGTGCTATATAGACTAGTGGCAGCTCTTGGGAACCAGACTGAGGGGTAGGTCTACCACTCAGTGTGTGGGTGGGTCATCGTCCTTAACACTCTCCCCAGGCAGGTCCATCTGTATCTGAGTGGTTGACAGCAAGTGCCATCACTAGCTGGAGGTGATAAAAAGTGAAAAGGGGGACCATGCTAATTTCTTCATTCAAGATATTAAGACAATGGAGAAAGGAGTTAGACATTTATAGAACACCCAAGGCGAAATTATGGTCAAGGTCCCACAAGGTTATGCTGGAAGGAGGCACTGCCCATGTCATGGATTGAATTATGTCCCCTCCCAAAAATGTGTGTATCAGTTTGGCTGGGCCATGATTCCTGGTATTGTGTGGTTTTCCTGTATGTTTTAAATCCTGCCTCTATGATGGTAATGAGGGAGGATGGGCGGCAGTTGTGTTAGTAAGGCAGGACTCAGTCTACAAGATTGGATTGTATCCTGAGGCAATGTCTTGAGATATAAAAGACAGAAGTGAGCAGAGAGACAGGGGAACCTCATACCATCAAGAAAGCAGTGCTGGGAGCAGAGCGCATCCTTTGGACCGGGGTCCCTGCACCGAGAAGCTCCTAGTCCAGGGGAACATAGATGAGAAGGCCAAGAGAGAGAGAAAGCCTCCCCCTGGAGCTGACACCCTGAATTTGGACTTTTAGCCTACTTTACTGTAAGAAAATAAACTTCTCTTTGTTAAAACCATGCACTTGTGGTATTTCTGTTACAGCAGCACTAGATGACTAAGACAGCCAGCTTCTCTGATGGGTGGGTGTGTTGAGTTCTATAAGACATAACTTTCCCAGTTAGCTGAGTCTTGTCAGGGGTTCAGGGGAGGTTATTGTATCCAGACATGGGAAAGCATGGGACAGAAGCACAGAGGTGCGAGGCAAGCCTGTTTGATGTCTTCTGGGAACTATAGGTGATTATTTGTGGGAGAGTGTAGGAGTTAGGGATGGAAAGATGGCAACAAGGAGGCAGGAGCCTGAAGAGGAAATGGCAGGGACAGAGTGGAGAAGGTGATGGTTCATGAGTGGATAAGTTTGTACTTGTATGATCAGCCAGCAGGCAACAATGCTAGGTAGACTAAAGATGAGCTGCTTCAGTTGTCCAGTATCTGCTGATGGTTCCTGTCATGCATTGAATTGTGTCCCCAAAAAATATGTGTATCAGTTTGGCTAGGCCATGATTGCCAGTATTGTGTGGTTGTCTTCCATTTTGTGACTGATGTAATTTTCCTACGTGTTGTAAATCCTAATCTCTGTCTGTGGTTAATGAGGCAGGATTGGGTTATGTTGAAGACGATTAGGGTGGCATGCAACGATTAGGGATGGTGCAACCCCCTTTCTCAGATCACATCCCTGATTCAATCTAAACGGAGTTCCCTGGGGTGTGGCTTGCACCGTCTTTTATCTTACAAGAGATAAAAGGAGAGAGAAGCAAGCAGAGAGTGGGGGACCCCATACCACTAAGAAAGCAGCGCTGGGAGAAGAGCACATCCTTTGGACCCAGGGTCCCTGCACCTGAGAAGCTCCTAGTCCAGGGGAAGACTGATGGCAAGGACCTTCCTCCAGAGCCGACAGAGAAAGAAAGCCTTCCCCTGGAGCTAACGTCTTGAATTTGGGCTTCTAGCCTACTAGACTGTGAGAGAATGAACTTCTGTTTGTTGAAGCCATCCACCTGTGGTATTTCTGTTACAGCAGCACTAGATGACTAAGACAGTTCCTAAATTTAGAATTACAGTAAACAAATGCTTCCATGAGTTTCAGAGTTATGTGTCCAACTGCTTATTTGACATTTACTTAGACATCCAATAAGCATCTCAAATAAGCTCTTGCTTGACAAATCTCCAAACCTCTCATACAGGTTTCCTCATCTCAGTAGATGCCATCTACATCATCCCCAATGATCAAGCCAGGTCCCTGAGAATAATCATTTAAGCTCCTCTTTTGCTCTCAATCCCCACATACTCCACCACCAATTCCCAAATCCCATTATTTCTATGCTCAAAATAAGTTTCAAACCTACTCCCTTCTCTCCTCCATCACCATCACGTTGTTATACCACGATCACCTGTCACCTAGCTGCCTGTAACAGGTTCCCTGACTGTCTCTCTGCTTTCCATCTTGCCTATTAAATTAATTTACCTAGTTGTAACTGCAGTGATTTCTTTTTTTTTCCCAAAACACATAGCTCATTGCTTGCCAGTTCCTTTGGGGTCATAATTGCACACACAGTGAAATCCAGAGTCTTTTCTGTAGCTTCTAAATTTCTTCAGGTTTTGACCCTTGCTGACCTCTTACATCTCTACCTGTAAGAATACTTTTATTTATTGGATTACATGCCTAGACTCTGTTGTTGGGTAAGATTACTACAGTGTCCCAAACATCCAGTAACTTGCCTGATATATGGTGGGCACTCAATAAATGCTTATTGAATGAATAAATGAATGAATGTAAGAGGTGCTTAACAGATATTTACTCTTTTCTAATTCCTAGATCCATATGGTCTTGAACAAGGATACACTCACATTTTGATTGGGGTCTCAGCCGCCGTTGTCTTTATTCTTCTCTTCCTCCTCCTCTTTTTTCTTTGCTGTTGGTATCAGGCCAAACACAGTACGTCCTGAAGATGAAATGGTTAACCTGGGAAAAGTGGGAGGTGGGGTTGGTGGATTCTTTCCAGGACTCTGATCATTGATTCTCAGTAGGAGCCACTGATGGTGAGACCAAGAACCAAGTGAAGTATAAGAGGTAGGAAAATTTGGACTCCTCCAATAATAAACTCTGCTTCTGTCTTATTTCTCAGGCCTACTCTAATGTTCCTGTCTCCTTTCCCACAGCTCCAGCCCATTTCTGGATGTCCAGGAAGATAATCAATGTAAGGGGAAAAAGGGCACCCAGGGTGGGGAAATAGGGTGTTGAGGGAGCTGGGAAGCATTCAGGAAGAGGGCAGAGAAGGTGGGGCTGCCACCTTGCTGTGTGATGTCACTGCCCTTTCCTAGATTTTAGTCACCCCATCTCTGAAATATGGCTGGGAGCACCGGATATTTCTGAAGGCCCTCAAAGAAAGTCCAACCTCTCATTTTCCTTTCAGATGCTGCCTTTAAGGACTTCCAACCTGAGGAGGATGAACAGATGGATACGCAGGTGAGTCTTTCCTCACCTACCTCCTCTCCTTCCTCAGTCCCCTCCTCGAGTACTCTCTCTCACTTTGTATCTCCATGTTGACAGGTCCTCACAGCAGAAGACCCCGAAGAAGTGACCTATGCCATGCTGCAACAGGAAACCCTTATGAGGAGTGTGGATCTGCTGTCCTCCAATACCCTCTGGGATGCCTCTCAACAGCCTTGTGTGTATGTCACCCTCGCCTTGCCCTGAGCCCAGAGCTGGGACTGGCTGTGTGGATGCCAGGGTTCGGATGCCCTTTAAGGAAGATGATGCTCCACGTGGCATACTACTCATATTCCCTCAACACCAGCCATCAGCTTGGAGCTTCCAAAGATGAAAGTACAAAGAAGCCGTGTCAATCCTCAAGAGATTCTGGAACCCATTAAATATTTTTCAGATGATTCCAGATTCTTCATATATTTACCCACTCACTTGCTTGTTCAGCAAATGTTTACAGTAGCCAACTCTTTCCTTGGATCTTTGCTGGTGCTATCCTGATTAGTGAGACACAGTTTCTAGTCTCAGGTTTCTCATAGTCTATTGAGAGAGGAAAGCTACATGATCTGTTCCTTACAAAACAATGCAGTAGTTACCTACAGGAGCAGGTGTAGGGATGCTTTGGGCTCATCGAGCAGGGACAACTGTCCAGGCATATTTAAGAAGCACCATCTGCTCATGGAATCCAGATTTTCTGGAGCTATGGAGGCTGGATGAACCCCTGAAACTATTGCCCTGAGATAATCTTTAAACCTTAAACCAAAAATATCCCCTGGAATCTTCTTAAAACCAAACAATAGTTTAGCTTAACTAGTAAAGGATGTATGCCTTGAGCGCTGTGCCTTTTTAAGAACTATCTACCATGTGGCTGGACTTTTGATTGCATGGGTGGATATAATTTTCAAAAGTTAATGAAACGAACTCTCAGTATCTGTGCATTATATTGTACGTAAATTATACCCAAATAAAATATTATTTTTAAATAAAAAAAATCTATATGGGATCACATTGACAACAGCAACTCAAAAGAGTAGATGGGAAACTTAGGGGGGCAGTGAGTTTATGTTAACGGAGGAGGAGAAATTCGGAAAAGGAGGGTGAGAATGGTTGCACAACATGTAATCAATGTTGCTGAATTGTGCGTGTTGGAGTTGGAGAAATGGTGCATGTTATTCTGTGTCTATTCTCAACAATGACAACAAATAAAGTAAATTATAAAAAGGGAAGTGCCATCTGGCACCACATACAAGGAGAAGTCAAGAAGAAATGAGAGTCAAATTGGACACAGAGGAAGTTGCTAATGGTATTTCAGTCCAGTGTTCTACGGTCTGCTGAGAGCTGAAGCCTTCAGAAGAGTGAAGGTGAAAGAGGAAGGGCTCCTAGTGAAGTCAGTATATTGCAAAACAAAATGAAATTCTCTCTTTCCTTCTCTCGCTCTCACTCTCTCTACACACACACATATAAAAGAGTTCAAACCAATTTGACAACAAGGGATTGCTCTTGGGGAGGGAGATGGTGCAGAGGGTATATGAAGAGGGACTGATGATTTTCCTCCAGTTTTGATGATTTTCTCTTCTCAATTGTGCAATTAAAATAAATAGAACAGAATGAAAAAGAGATGTGTATGAGAGAAGAGGAACCAGAGTGCATATGCAAAATAACTCTTTCAGTAACTTTTGATGAAAGAAATTGAAGAAGAAGCTAATGTTAGAACAGGGAGAAGTGGTTTGGCAGGGAAAGGGTAGAAGAAATAAAGAGGATTTGAGCATGTGTGTTGGTTGATGGAAATATATGAGGTGGGATAGTAATGTAGATAATACTGGGGAGGGAGAGATGATTGACACTTGGTGGAATGGCATATTATGTAAGAGTTCAGGCTCTGCAATAGAGGGGTTAACCTGGGTTCAAATCCTGCTTCTGCCATCCTCTAGCTCCTGAATGTATACACAAGATAATATTGCATCTCAGCACCTTGTTCTTTTCCCTCAAAGCACTTATCAAAATTTCTGTGTATTTTAATTACCAATTTGTTAAATTGAATTTTGCTTAGAATATAAGACCCATAAGGGCGGGGACCCTGTGTCTTTCTCACTGTTGTGGCAGGCACCATTAATTATCTCTTCAGTATTCTTTTTCTTTGCCACCGGAGTGTGAATTAGTTCAGGGGAGCAACACTTTAAGTTGCTTCCAAGCCAATCAACAATCCCAGAATTTCTTGCAGCTAGGTATGGCCATAAGGTTGGTTTTGTTGAGTTCTAAGTGCTCACCTGCTGGGTAAATTCTGGGAAAGACTTTATATTCGTAATAAAGGGGACAGATGTGGTTAGCATAAACCTCTGCCCCTATCTTCCTACCCTGAACATGGATAAAATGCCTGGGTCTGGGGCATCCATCTTGTGATGTTAAGGAGAAAGCCAAGAGTATGACAGAGAACCGAGCTCTACCATCACTGGGCCACCACACCAATGCCTTCATTATATTCTATTTTGTGAGAAAAATAAAATGATTTGTCTAATAATTGCTATTATTTTTTATTATATGTAGCTAAAAGCATTTGGAATTGATAAAATGGCTGATGTCAAGGGCATCCCACAATACCTGAAAGGAAGTAGACATTCAAACATGTTTGTTGAATGAGTCAGTGGCTTAGGGAGGGTGTGATAGTTAATTTTATGTGTCAACTTGGCTAGGCTATGATTCTGAATGGTTTGGCCAGATACTGGGCTGGTTGCTGTTCCATAATGTAATGTAATGTAATATAACATAATGTAATCACCTTCCATGAGGTGATTTGATGTGACCAACCAATCAGTTGAAAGGGGAGTTTCCTTGGCAGTGTGGCCTGCCTTCAGCATATAAATGAATATTCTGGCAGAGCTTGCTGTCTCTTTCTGGATGCTGTACTCTTCGCATCGCCTAATTTATGGATCGTGGGATGAAAGCCTGCAGTAGTCTCCGGCCTGTTACCTGATCTATGAATTTTGGACCTGCCAGCCCCACAACTGTATGAGCCAATCCCTTGAAGTAAATCTCTCTGTATACACATACACACACGCGCGCACACACACACACACACACACACACACACACACATCTCACTGATTTTGCTCCTCTAGAATAACCCAAACTAAGACAGGAGGTGATGTCAGGGAGTTTATGGAGATATCAGAACACAGACAATGCCTCAATGGGCAGATGGATGGTGCAACTCTAGGCTGGTGAAAGGAATTAAGTGAAACTCCATGGGGCTTGTGTGCGAGTCATTCTACTGAGGAAATAGTCCAGCTTGATTAGTCTGAACTAGGAAAAGCCAGGGCTGACGAGGGGGAAGGGATGAGCATATCCTTCATCCTCCTCACATCCTGTCTCTGCTCCAGGCCCCCACCACCTCCTTCCTGGGACCACAGAACTCAGGACAGGGCTGAGGAACCATGTCTCCATTCCTGTCCACCCTCTTCTGCCTTGGTGAGTCCTCAGGGTGGATCTGGGAGAGGCGGAGGGGATAGGCACAGGGTCACCAGACAAAGACTCCTAAAATTCCAGGACAAAAGGGGGCCTATGAGAGCCCGTTCATTGGTTGGATGGGAAAACTTGGTTCCAGGGAGATTACGTATTTCATCTGAATTATTCTAGTTTATTCATGGTTGAGTCAGGAAATGAACACAGGTCTCCTAGTTTGGGCTGCGACATTATTCCATTACACCATGGTTGTTTTGTATATATATATGTATGTATGTATGTATATAAATATGAGATCAGGGCTAGGCTGTAGATTTAATTTGCCAGTGTTCTTTGTAGTAGCAAGAGAGCAAATAAGAGTCTGTTACAAAGGCGGGATTGGATGTGTTTTTTACTGCCTGATCTTTATCAGGCTTTGTGCCAGGTGTGTTGTAGGCATTGTTTATGTCTTCAGAAGCACTTTACTGCTGAAGGGATAGGGGTTCCAGAAGGCTAAGGAGGAAGGAAGCAGTTGTGTTATTGGAGTTAAGAGGGCAGACTCTCATTAATCAATCATCAGTCAATCAACACATGCTTATGTAGCACTTAGTATGTATGGGCCAAGGAGCCTGGGTGGCGCAAGTGGTTTGTGATTGGCTGCTAACCTAAAGTTTGGTGGTTTGAACCCATGGAGTGACTTCATGAAAGAAAGGCCTGGCGATCCGCTTCCATAAAAAATACAACTAAGAAAACCCCGTGGAGCAGTTGTAGTCTGTAACACATAGGGTTGGCATGAGTCAGAATTGACTTGTTGGCAAGGGGTTTGGGTTTGGTTTTGGACTATGGGTCACACATTATTTTATTTTATTTTTTTTAACAGATACTAATGCATTTAATCCCCATAACAGCCCTATGAGGTAGAGCCTATTATTATCCCCATTTCACAGATGAGGAAACTGAGGCCCAGAGGGGTAAAGTAAGTAACTTGTTTAAGGCCACACAGCTAGGGTTTGGATATAAACTAAGAAATTTTGGTGCCAAATCCATGTTGTTTACCACTAAAATATGCTGCCCATGTTTGAATTTAGCTCCTTCCAACTGCAGGATGTTGGACAAGATGCTGAGGCTTTTGGTGTCTCAGTAGCTTGCTATATAAAACGGTGCTAATAATGATACCTACCCAATAGATTATGGCGAGGATTCAAAGAGTCCATATGCAGAAACTGTTCAAAATGGCACTTGGGTTATTTCCAGTCATGTTAGAAGGTTGCATGAGAATTGCTATGTTTATGATAGAACAGTAATAATCTTTACCTTCATGTGTGTGTGTCTCTGGGTGCAAGAATTAGGGTTACTACAGAAAACACAGGACTTCCAGCTAAATTTTAATTTCAGGTAAACAACGAATAATTTTTGCATAAGTATATCTCAACTATTGCATGGGACATATTTATACTAAAAAATTGTTGCTGTTTATCTGATTAAAATTTAAATGAGAACCCTGCGTTATTTTTGCTCAGTCTGACAATTCTAGAAAGATTAAAATAGATAATGCTATCAACTCAGGAGAAAGGCAAAAGAGATGTCTTAGCCTGAGAGGAAAAGGGAGTTGTTCAACCTAGAGATCAGTTACTCTAACAGAAGGAAAAATGGGGGGTACCTTCAAGGGAAAAAGTGGAATTTATAGATTACACAATTTGATAGATGTGCACAATTGCATGGAAAAGCTATTGAGAATTGTGGGAAGAAATAACAATAAGTTCAAGGGAAACTACGCAGATGGAAATAAACCAGGCGTTTATTGATTCCAAAAAAGGAAAAAAAAAAACCATTGTCGTCGAGTTGATTCTGACTCATAGAGACCCTGCAGGACAGAGTAGACAGTAAAGCTCCATAAGGTTTCCAAAGAGCGGCTGGTGGATCCAAACCGCCAGCCTTTTGGTTAGCAGCCAAACTCTTAACCACTGTGCCACCGGGGCTCCTATTGATTCCAGGGAAAACACATAGGAAAAATATATAAGCACAGTATTACAATGCTCATATGTGAATGATATGTGCATAGTTATAACAATGTAATCTTAGAATATTGATTTAACAAAAAAAAGTATAAAATAGTAGGAAAACCCCTGAGTAACACACCTGAGATATCTTGACTTATAACGCAAGAGACCTCATCCTGGACAAAGCTCACTTCTCAAAGACAAAGTTATTATTATTATTTTTAAATTGTGCGGTAGGGTTAGGGCTGGGAATTGATTTCCTATGATCGTTGCGGGATTTTCTCAGTTTGTTTATGACCAGTTGAGGGTAGATTTTACCGTCTTTACTGATGTGCTTTTTGTGACCATATAGACAACTGAGAAGTATTAACTTTTCACTGACCTGACCATATATTTTATTTGATGAATTTTGGGGTGCAGTGGTGGCACAATGGTTAAGCACTTGGCTGCTAACCGAAAGGTCAGTGGTTCGAACCCACCAATGGCTCCCTGGAAGAAAAGATACTCTGCTCCTCCTGTAAAGAGGAGCTGTTACCATCGAGTCCGTATAGCACAGAGTAGAACTACCCCATGGGGTTTCTGAGGGGTGCCTGGTGGATTTGAACTGCTGACCTTTTGATTTGCAACTATAGCCCCTAACCACTACACCACCAGGGTTTCCTGTAAAAATTACAGCCTAGGAAACACTATGTGGCAGTTCTACTCTGCCCTACAAGTTCGCTGTGAATGGGCATCAACTTGACGGCACACAACAGCAACGTTGTATTTATTACATATGCAATAAAATACAGTAATACTTACGCATATACGGCAGCATAGATGAACCTGGAAAACATCATACTGAGAAAAATAAGTCAGTTGCAAAAGGGCAAATACCGTATAATCTCACTTATGGGAAGTGAATCAATATACAGAAACCAAAGATTATTTGTGATAACCAGGGATGGGAGGGAGGAGGAAGGGGGAGTTTTTGCTTAGGGGGCACTGAGTTTATGTTAACGGTGGTGGAATGATTTGGAAAAGGATAGCGAGAATGGTGGCACAATTTGAAGAAGGTAATCAGTGTCACTAAATTGTACATGTAGAAGTTGTTGAGATGGCATCTGTTTTGTTATATATGTATATTTTCACCCTGATGCCACAATTTCAAAAAAGTAAAAAAAATTACAATAATACACAATATGCTATTGTCTAGTTTGTATATTGGAAAATTGAAAGGATGAAAAGAGAGAATGTCAGTGTAAAGACTGAATCCTCAATTCCACTTGAGGAAGTCCATAAGCAATGTCTAAAACGAATGAATTAACAGATGGCAGTATCCACATATATTTTTTGTAGAACTGTGGAGCTATAGGAACCCTAGTGGTGCAGTGGTTAAAGAGTTCAGCTGCTAACCAAAAGGTCAGCAGATCGCATCCACCAGCCGCTCCTTGGAAACCCTATGGGCCAGTTCTACTCTGTTCTGTAGGGTCCCTATCAGCTGGAATTGATTTGGTGGCAAGGGGTTTGGTTTGGCTTTTGGTATGGAGATATAAAAACGCCAGAAGGAATATCTAAAATCGTCAAAAGTATGTGCATCAGAGGAGGGGCACAGAAGGGAGTTGGGTTGGGTGGGTCAAGGAATCCCTGTTTGAGATTTTTTTTTTAATCACATATATAAAATTCACCATTAATGACATTTAGGACATTCACAATGCCGTGCAACCATCACCACTAACTAGTTTCAGAACATTTTCATCACCACCAAAGGAAACTTCATACCCATTACACAGTCACGCCCCTTTCCCCTTCCCTCGCATCCCCTGTTGTTGTTAGTTGCCTTCCAGTCAATTCTGACTCATGGTGACCCCATGAGTAGACCCCAGAGTAGGACTACTCCATAGGGTTTTCTTAGCTCTAATCTTTTTTTTTTTTTAAAGTAATATTTTATTGTGTTTTTGGTGAAGATTTACACAGCAGCTTAGGTTCCTATTCGACAATTTCTATCCGAGTTGTTCAGTCAATTAGTTACATTCGTCACATTGTGTAAACATTCTCCTTTATTTCCGCTCTGGTTGTTCCATTTCTGTTCATCTAGTTTCCCTGTCCTCTTACATTCTCCTCTTTGTTTTAAAGTAATTGTTGGCCGTTTGGTCTCATATAGGTGATTTTTTAAAGGAGCACAGTACTTACGGATGATATTTATTATTTTTTGAGCCAATGTGTTATTTAGCTACAAGGTGACCTCAGGGATTAGTTTCGATTCAAGGTTTGAATAGTATCTCAGGGCAAAAGTCTTGGGAAGTCCTCCAGTCTCAACCAGTCCAATAGGTCTGTTTTTTTTTTTTTGTTTTGTTTTGTTTTGTTTTGTTTGTTTTTTTTAGGGATTTGAGGTTCTGTTCCACATTTTTCTCCCATTCTATCAGGGTTCGTCTATTACGGCTTGGCTAGGTGGGTTCGAACTGCCAGCCTTTAGGTAGTAGTCTAGCACAAACTGTTTGCGCCACCTAGCGTCCTTTCCATTTCCTAGGGAACCACTAATCTACTTTAGGGCTGTATGGATTTGCCAGCTCTGGCTATTCCTTGTAAATGGGATCACACGATATGGTGTCTTTTGTGTCTGGCTTCTTTCACTTAAATTATGTGCATGTAGGACTTTGAAAAAAAATGATTATGACAAAAGAGGGATAAATGTACGCAAATGTCACATCACTACGCCTGGCAGATAGGAAGTGTTGATGAGGCACTAGCAGTTGGTCTTTTTTTTTAATTAAAATTTTTTTTTTTAATTTGGTAAGTATATATATGTAACAAAACATTTACAATTTCAACATTCTTTATTCTTTCCTTAGGGCTGTGCCTGAGGCAGGCGATACAAACACGGCAGGGTAAGTCCTTCTCCCTAAGTCCCCAGAGCCCTCCTCTGGGTTCAGCCAGAGAGAGCGTGGGAGGGAGTTTCAGGGCCCCAGCAGGGGAGTCTGTTTGGAAGCAAGAGTCTGGGAGGGCCCTGACCTCTAGCTCTGCTTTCCTTCCAGTCCCCCTCCCCAAGCCCTCCCTCCAGGCCTCCCCCAGTGCCCTGGTACCTCTGAAGAAGTCAGTGGTCATCCAATGCCAGGGGCCTCCGGGTGTGGACTTGTACCGCCTGGAAAAACTGAAACCCAGGAGTTATGAGGATCAGGCAGTTCTTTCCATCCCGGTCATGAAGGAGAGTTTCGCCGGACAGTACCGCTGCTCCTATCAGAACGGGACCCTCTGGTCTCCACCCAGTGACCTGTTGGATCTGGTTGCTACGGGTAACTGGGGGTGGGTGAGGCTGCACATGTAGCGTCAGTTCTGCACAGTGCTCAGCTCTGGGCTCCAAGAGGGTGAAAATGGGGGTGTAGGTGATGGTAACTCTAAAGCCTTACAGGGCTAGGGTTAGGGAGAGGCAAAGGAGACACTTGCCTTGGGAATGAAATTTAAGGGGTCACCAAGAAAATGTGTTGTTGTTAGTTGTCATCCAGTCAGCTCTGACTCATGGCAACCTTACGTTTAACAGAACGAAACGTTGCCCAGTCCTACGCCGTCTTCATGATTGTTAGCATATTTGAGTCCATTGTTGCAAATTTTGTGTCAATCTGTCTCATTGAGGTTTTCCCTGACCATGATGTTTGGTAAAGTAGAGGATCAGAGAAAAAGAGGGAGACTCTCAATGAGATGGATTGACCCACTGGCTGCATCAATGGGCTCAAACATAGCAACGATTGTGAGGATAGCACAGGACTGGGCAACGTTTTTAGTGATCACTCTTTCTGACGATGTGTCCAAAGTAAGCAAGCCGAAATTTCACCATCCTCACTTCTAAGAAGTATTCTGCCAAAAAAACTTAGTAATCAAGATAGTTGATATTTTAACACCGTACATTTTTTTTTGAGGTGAAATTCACATAACATAAAATTAACCATTTTAAACTGAACAGTTCAGTGTATTAGTACATTCACGAGGTTGTGCAATCATTACCTCTATCTAGTTTCAAAACATTTTCATCACCCCTAAGGAGACCCTAGGAAACCCTGGTGGCTGGTGGTTAAGAGCTACGGCTGCTAACCAAAAGGTCGGCAGTTCAAATCCACCAGGCGTTCCTTGGAAACTCTATGGGGCAGTTCTACTCTGTCCTATAGGGTCGCTATGAGTTAGAATCGACTTGACCCCAACGGGTTTGGTTTTTGGTTTTTAAGGAGACCCCCATACCCATTAACTGTCACTCCCTACTCTTCCCTCCCCTTAGCCCCTGGCATCCACCAATCTGCTTTCTGTCTCTATGGATTTACCTATTCTGGATAGTTCATACACTTGGAATCATACACTATGTGACCTTTTCAAAGTGAACAAAATATCACAATTTTAAATCAAGACAGGATCCGGCAGTACTCTGCCCAGCCATATCCGAGCCTGAGGCAAAATGAACAATGTATACCTTCTATCCATATTTTCATGCTTTTTTAAAATGGTTAATTATTTTCCAGAAGCAGATTTTGAAAATATTATTGGTTAGTTTGCTTCCATTAAAGCCAGGACAGTAACATTATAATAAACTGTTTGTGTGTGTACAAATAGTAAAATCTTCAAACTTAAAATAATGGGGTGAGTTTTAATATAGCTACTTGTCAATATTTTTTTCCACTATGTTAATAGAGTAGGAAAAATTAGGCATTGGGAAAAACAACAACATAACAATACGAATACAGGGGCTTATGTTTTTCTTTTTGCCTCAGAGTTCAGCATGGCTTGACACAACATGGTAGGGTTAAAATTAGGGTTAGGGTTAGAGTTTGGGGATTAGAATGTGGATGTCTTTGGAGGGGCATTTTTTTTTTTGGTCTACCCGAGGGGATATACACTAAAAAAATTCTTAATACCATGAATAAAGGATTATGTCTTGTCTAACCCGAACCCTGTCTTTATTTAAAATTTTGATATTTTGTTCATCATGAATTGGTTTGCATTAATTTCCAACTAAAAAATGCATTAAAGTATTTATCTTGATGACTGAGTTTTGGGGCACTCCCTTAAATTTTGTGCTCAAGGCAAGTGCCTCACTTGCTTCACCCTAATCAGAGCCCTTGCCTTACAATGGTCCACCAGACCCCATGTGTACCACCTCCCTGCCCTCATCTCCCGCCACTCTACCTCTCAATCATCCACTCTAGCCACACTGGCCTCCTTGCTGCTTCTAGAACGTTCCAGCCTGCCTACTTCCCTGGGGGACTGACTCAAATGCTATCTTCTTATTGAGTATTTTCCTCACCACCTGTACTAGCTTCCTGGGACTGCTGTAACAAAGTACCACAAAGTAGATGGCTCTAAACGACAGAGATTTATTCTCTCACAGTTCTGGAGGCTAGAAGTACAAACTCTGGATGTCAACAGTGTCAAGTTTTCTCAGAAGGTTCTATCTAGGGCAAGATCCTTCCTTGTGTCTTTCAGCTTCTGGTAGCCCCAGGTGTTCCTCGACTTGCAGCTGCAGCATAAGTCCATTGCCATATGGCATCTTCCCTCTGTGTCTCTGTGTCTCTTCTCCTCTTTTATAAGGACACCACTCCTATTGGAGTAGGACCCACCCAACTCCAGTATGACCTCATGTTAAGTGACAACATCTTCAAAGACCGTTTCCAAACAAGGAGTCCCTGGGTGATGCAAATGGTTAAACTCTTGACTATAAGCCAAAAGGTTGGCAGTTCAAACCCAGAGGAGCCTTGGAAGACAGGCCTGGCAATTTGCTCCTGAAAGGTCACAGCCTTGAAAACCCTATGGAGCAGTTCTCTGCACACATGGGGTCACCATGAGTTGGAATTGGCTTGACAGCAACTAACAACAACATTTTCAAACAAGATCACATTTACAGGTATAGGGTTTAGGACTTCATATCTTGTTGGGGGACACAGTTCAGTCCATAACAAGATACAGATAGAAGCTTTCCCAGCTCTTAAGAAGGCGGGGGGACCTTCCCACCTCCACAGCCAAGACACTGGACACTTCCCTTTAACATCAGAATTCTCTTCTAGGAGTTTTTTCCAAGCCCTCACTCTCAGCCTGGCCCAGCTCAGCAGTGTCACCAGGAGGGGATGTGACCTTATCATGTCAGGCTCAGTATGGCTTTGACCGCTTTGCTCTGCACAAGGAAGGAGACCCTGGGCCCTCCAAGAGCCCTGAGAGGTGGTACCAGGCCGAATTCCCCATCATCACTGTGACTGCTGCCCACAGTGGGACCTACCGATGCTACAGTTTTTCCAGTTCATCCCCATACTTGTGGTCGCACCCTAGTGACCCCCTGGAGCTCGTGGTCACAGGTGAGGGAGGTGCTGACTAAACCTTTTTTCCTTGACCTTCACAAGCCCTTATGGCAGTTCTAAGGATAGGGAAAGTGGTGGGGAAGGGGAAGCTATGGAGAATGTATTAGTTTCCTGTTGCTGCTGTAGGGGACTCCCTGGGTGGTGCAAAAGGTCAAGCGCTTGACTACTAGCCAAAAGGTTGGCGATTCAAATCCACCCAGCGGTGCCTTGGAAGACAGGCCTGATGATCTTCTGAAAGGTCACGGCCTTGAAAACCCTATGGAGGACAGTTCTACTCTGCACGCATGGGGTCACCATGAGTCAGAGTCGACTCGACGGCAAGTAGCAACAACAACAATATTGCTGCTGTAACAAATTACCACAAACTAAGGAGCTCTGGTGGTGCAGTGGTTAAGAGCTCGGCTGCTAACCAAAAGGTCAGCAGTTTGAATCCACCAGCTGCTCCTTGGAAACCCTATGGGGCAGTTCTA